CTAGATAATATTTTTAACTTATTAATGTTCACAGACATCTCTGCTCCCCTCCCTCTGTGTGTGTGTGTGTGTTTTAGTCAATAGTTATTGACTATAAAATCTATCACAACAAGGCTAACAAATGACTCAGCAGATAACAACTCTTGGAACAGAAGCTCAGTGACCTGAGTTCTAGCCCTGAAAACCACAGAACTGACCCCCCACAGTTATTTTCTGTCCTCTACACATGGGCCGTGCCACACACGTACCTGCATGCACACACACAAACACACACACATACAGTGTAAATATCTGTGTCTGTCTCAGTCAGCTACCTGTTGGACCTCTCAGATCCCACTTAGGAGGGAGAAGAAAGCAATCACTTGAGGCAGAGGTGGGAGGGACCTGGGAGGGAAAGTGAAGGGGGAGGGGAGAAGGGGAACATGATCAGGTATTGGGGGGAGGGAGGTCAGTGAATAGGAGAAAAGTCCTGAAGGCCAGCAGAATTAATAGAAATATGCAATCCCTGGAGGAGGGGGGAACCCTATAGAAAGTACCAGAGACCTGGGAAGTAAGAGACTTTCAGTATTCAAAGGGAAGGACCTTAGATGAAATGTCCAACAGTGGGAAGAGGGAACTTGCAGAGACCACCTCCAGTAGAAAGACAGGGTATCAAGTAGAGGGATGGGGTTGCCATCCCACAGTCAAAAATTCTGACTTAGAATTGTTCCTGTCTAAAAGACATGCAGGGACAAAATGGAGCAGAGACTGAGGGAAGGAGGTCTAGTGACTGGCCCAGCTTGGTATCCATCTCAAGGGGAGGCGCCAAGACTTGACACTACTACTGATGCTATGACGTGCTCACAGACAGGCTTGAGTTTCTTTAAAGGCATATACTGATAACAGTTGTGAGGATAATATATTTCTCAATTTGATCTTTTGTCTGTTAAGGTCCAGAGGAGTTTTGTTCCCGCAAGCCTAAGCATGTATTTGCTCCATTCCTACTAGTGAGCAAGTTACTATCACCAGGATGAGGTACAGGACAGAATCAACTTCAAACTGATCAGTAGTGAGAAAATGTTACTTTACTGTTCTTTGTCCTGCTGGGTCTCCCACTGTATCCTGTCATTTTATTGCTTTCATCAAGCTGTTCCCTAAATGCCATTGTCATCAGTGACCAGACCCTGCCCTTGAAGCATAACCTAACACAGAAAAAAACAGTCTCCACATAACTTACTGTCTCCATTCTCTCAACAAGAGCATTCTCCAACACAATCCTGGATGCTTTCTTTCCATTTCCCCATGTCTCTGTGTTTGCCTATTTCCCTGCTTTTATGACATCAATTATATTTAGTTAGGGCCAAGCCTATCTACTCAACCATCAGAGTTTTAACCTGAAATGAGTTCCTTAAGGATACCCAATATACAATATAAACATAATTTAACCAGTCAATGGATTATCTTGGCCTCGTCTTTGTGGCACTTGTTACATTTGTAATTGATACCTAATGAGGTCATTTGATTAGGTGCTGCTGTGGTTTAGATACTATTTGTTGCCTGGAGACTGATGTCTTGGAAGTTCAGTTCCCAATACTTAGATATCAAAGGGTGGTGGAGACTTTACCTGTGAGCACAGTGGGGTGTGATTAGTTCAAGTCTGAGAGAGAATAATGAGATAAAAGCAGAATCAGCTCTCAATGGCTTCTCCCCATCAAGCCGTCTCTGCTTCCACAAGCTGTACTACCACTCTGGTGCCCTATGGGGCTCTCCCTAGCTACTATCTAGGCTGTGTCTTTGAGCTCCAACTATAAGCTACTTATACTTTTCTTCTTAATAACATACCCAGATTTGGATTATTACTTAAAGCAATAGAAAATAGATTAATTCAGTATCTGTTTTACAGACTGTAAGTAATTAAAATGGCATGTGCGTTCGTGGCTGTATTAGTGCTTTGTTTGGAATAACACAATAGGCGTTAATTTGATGTTACAGTGAATAACTTGGGTACTTATTAATAGACTGGAAAGGGCAAAAATGCCTTCTTTAATTTTCAGGATCTGACATGATGGCTCATCAAATACAACTGAATTCAATCCCCAGAACACACGTTAATGCAGAAAGAGAAACAAACTCCACAGAGCTCTCTTCTGACATCGGTATTATACTCACACAATAAAAATAATAATAAATAAAAATAAAAATTTTTTTAAAAACTTTTAAATTTTCAAGATTTCATATCACTTTGTGAGAATGTAAATTGATTTCACACAATTCAAGTGAAATAATAATCTATCAGGAAATAATTTATCTAAAGTTATAATTATACAAAAGAATCAATGAAAAACTTGGACTTTGTTTTGATCTATCTGTGTTATAGGACCTAGACAGTACTCTAAGTATATAAAACTATTGTATGAATATCCAAATGGCATTTATAAACTTTCAGAACCACCAAAGAAGCCAGACTGTGACATAATTGAGTAATACACAGTTCAGCAGTACAGCAAACTTTATTGATAAGTGGGCTTGGCTCCGGGAGCATCTATACAGCTATAACTAAATCTACTGAGACACTTTGAAATTGAGATACAGTAGCAGTGAGAACAAAAACATGCTTGCCTACAGTTCCCGTCATAGCAAGTCTTCAGTGCTTAACATTATACATGAATGCTTTGGATTTAGAAGGTAAAAGATGCTACTTTTGATGCTCTATAAAGGTCCAGCTTAAATCCTTTTACCTACTCTTCTGCAGTATTTATATGAATATTAAAGCTGTTATTTCTTCCTATTCGGACTTTGACAACTACCAGAACATCCTGATAAAAGAATTCTACTCCTGTCTGTCGCCCCTTTAGACAAATGACAAGGGTTTTCCGTTTTTGTGCACTTTGAATAATTTTAATCTAGTTAAACCTTCGTTTTCTTTTCTATAAATCTACCTCATGATGATATCTATTGATGGGGGTATTTTAGGTGTTGAACATACACACAGTGCAGTGTCTGGGTGTAGTTAGTAATCAGTGATTGCTGGAAGTATTATCTTCATCACCAAGAACATGAGGAGTGAATTTTAATTAGCCTTCCATTCCAACATTGCATTATATTATCTTGTGTGGTTCACTTTGTTTTCTTAAGCTACTGTACCATTTTTATAGTCGTGTTTCTTTTCTTTTTCTGTTTTAAAGCTATAATCATGTAAATTGAGATATATATATATATATATATATATATATATATATATATATATATATATCTCACAATCTAATGAGTTTGAGAACATGTATTTAACCATGACAGTTCACATAATAAAGTTACTAAATATATCCAACACCTCCAAAATTCCTTGTGCATTTTATGTGTATAGAGGGAGGTGTTTTATTTTCATGGTAGAAACACTGAAAATGAGAAGTTCCTAATGTCACTTGGTACTGCAGATTCTATGTTGTACAGACACTCTTTATGGCACTATTTCTTACATAAATGAAACTGCATGCCCAGTAAGCATTAGTCATCCATTTCCCTCATCCTCCACTATTCTATCCTTGCTTCTGTGAATTTCACTCTTTTAGATGCCTCCGATCTGTGCAATCTTGCAGCAAAGGAAAGCAATCACTGATAGCTAAATAGTGTTTGTATCTAAGGCTCTTATACATTTATTATCTATCACACAGACCGAATTAATAATTTTCCTTTAGGTAAATTGTGACTAATTTAATCCTTACTCTCAAGGTTGCAACAATTAATTTATGTTTGCTGGGGGAGGGGAGGCATTTCTGCGTGTGTGTTTAAGGCTGTATGTATGCACAAGCCAATATTGTAATATTTTCTATAATATTAACAACATTTTTCCTAAACCTGAAGTATAATCTCTGAAGAACACAAATTAAAAAAAACATATTTGTGCAACACAAAATGGACCACAGTAAAAATTAAACAATATTTTGTTTACTGGTAGAAACATGGATTAAATTGATTTTATAAATAATATTTTTCTCTAATCACTGGCTAAAATCTTGCAATTAGCCATATTTTATCTAATTTAAAGCTGAAGTAGTTTTTGTGAGATACATATTTACTATCTGGGCTGTAGGAATAAAATGACTTTTTTTCTGAATATCCACAGAGTGGGCTGCAGTAGCCATGGGTAAATGTGCCTTTTTGGCTGCAAGTGAGCATTCCCACACCATGGGGCTGTGAATTCCCCAGGCTCCAAGAGAATTCCAAATCTCTATCCAGCTTGATATTGTCATCCCAGCTAAATGATGAATATTTTTTTACAGGTTTAAGTGAAGGTTTGGCCACAGCCCTCACATGAGGTTCTCTATCCTTGTCAATAATCTGTATTATCCATGTTATCTTACCTTAATCTTCTATTCAAAAGTTAAGCTAGCAGAGACAGAAAAGAGATGACAATTGGTGGCTGGGAATATAGTTTAGTGGCAAAGTACATTCATGGCTAGCAGTAGCCAGGGCCACACTGCCAAAAGAAAGGAAGGAAGGAAGGAAGGAAGGAAGGAAGGAAGGAAGGAAGGAAGGAGAGAGAGAGAGAGAAAGAGAGAGAGAGAGAGAGAGAGAGAGAGAGAGAGAGAGAGAGAGAGAGAGAGAGAAGCTGTTGAGGTATCAAGTCTGTATTTTCAGGCATTCAGTAGATACCTTTTCAGTTCCATCCAGCGGACATTTATGAATTCAGCTAGTGCGCTAGGCACAGCACTAAGTAATCAATACTTCCACTTACATTTTTTCCATTGATCCTCACTGCACCCCCTAAGGCGTGGATGTTTTATTTCTATTTTAGAAATAATGAAGCTGAGTTTCAAATGGTTAACCAGGTCTCAGAATAGGATTTGACCCCAAACCTGCCAATTCCTGAGACAGTGACGTCATCATCTATATCGTTACTTCTAGATGCAAAATGCTTTCCAACTTAAGCAATGAGAAACATCTATTAAAGCACTTTGAAGTTACATTTTAAATTCCAATAATGAAGGAAATGACAAAATGCTCTCATTTATATCACATAGGTATATGGCCATTATCGATCCTTTGAAACCCAGACTATCTGCCACAGCCACAAAGATTGTCATTGGAAGTATTTGGATTTTGGCATTTCTACTTGCCTTCCCTCAATGTCTTTATTCCAAAATAAAAGTCATGCCAGGCCGTACTCTTTGCTATGTGCAATGGCCAGAAGGTCCCAAGCAACATTTCACGTAAGTAAATTCTCTTTGATGATTTTTAGCTTGGTCTATCCAACTCTTAGTGGAATGAAGATTGGGAGAAAAATTATGCATGTAAGACAAAGCCATTCCCCTGGGTGGGGGAATGGTCATGGGAAAAGAAATGTAAAATACACTTCCATAGGATGTGTTGGCTTATAACGCTACCAAGGTTTTTAATTGGAGATGTGATGACTTCTGTTGGAGAACCACCCACATTTTCTAACAGGAGTGATAAAAGCTGGAGGCGATGTGCCAGGGACAGCAGGGTGCTATTGACAGAAGAGCTAGAAAGTGGGAACTGAAGCCCAGTGTGTTGATTGCTCTTTTAGGAAGCCTGGCAGAAGGGGAAGGAGGTCCTGGCAGGTGTTTTAATTTTGTTTTGCTTTCATTTGTACATATTTGTTCATTTCAGCATGAAAAACCCCGGTCACTAAATTGAAATGGAAATAGGTATGCCATTTGATAAAATTGAAGTTTTGTATTTTAGACCTAAGAAAAGCTAAAGAGAAAGCCAACATAATTGTGTAATTGATTTTTTCCATTTCTGTACATTTCAATATAATGGTTTCTTTCCCTATTTTTAATGACATTTAAAAATAGCAAATGTTGCCAATAATTACCAATTTTTTGAGACAGGATCTCTTTATGTAGTCCTGGCTAACTTTCAACTTCAAGAGATATTCGTGCCTCTGCCTTTCAAGGGCTGGGGTTAAAGGCTGCAACCATATCTAGCCTGCAATTACTTTTCTTTTTTTATAATTTTTTTTTCAAATTGTAATTCATTCTCACAGGGGTTATAAACACAGAAAGGCAGGACGTGGGGAAGGGGGTGACACTGGAGTGTGGGTGTTCAGGGGGAGTACAGATATCTTTCAGAACAGTGTATCAGCTGGGTGAAGGTTCAGGGGACAGGTCATTATGACTCTGCCTATGATTCACTTGTCCTTATCTAAGTTGGTATTGTCTGCCAAGGCTACCTATTTACAAGGTCTATGACTACTCAGGCTGGTAAATTTCCACGAAAGCTGCCTGTTTACAATAGCTGATAGCCATCTGTTTCAATGTTTTTCCACAGAGACCCAAGACTTGGTGTTAGTATACATGTATGACAGGCCTATTGCTGATTTTAGGCCTATGGCTGATTTTAGGTCTTCAGTGTGTATTCACGTTTTAAGCAGTTGTTTTATCTAACTCTGCTCCTACAAGAACCCAGAATCTTTTTAAGGGAATGAAAGATAATTTATTCAGGAGCCACTTTTAAGAGACTATGACCTATGAACACAGATTTAGGTTAGTCTGAATTCCATGATCCAGTGTGAAAACAGTTTCATGAAGTTTTATGCCCTTACAGAGCAAACAAAGAAAGTCATAAATGAAGGCAAATTTAAAATACATTGGTGAGTATACCAGAGGCAGGTACATGAGAAACTTTTATAGGCTCATGTTGCAGAATATTTGATCACACTGTGAACCCTGAGATTGTATTTGCTGGAAAAACCTGTTTCTAGTTGTGGTGCAGGTCAGCCTTAACACACACCTTTAATCCATCCATCTCACTGAAATACAGACACACCCTTAGTCCACACCTTTGATCCCAAACAATGAAGCTAAGGTTTATTTGTAGAAGGAACCAACAGTGTTTGAAAGCAATGTCTAATTGAGAGGCAAAGTGACAATTCAGAGAAAGATTTGACTAAATAGGATATACCTAACTCTCATGAGAACAGAAAGAAAAAGAGAGGCTACAAGAGAGAAAGAGAGAGGGGTGCTACTTGAGAGAGAATGAGAGAGAGAAGAGAGGAAACAGTTTTACTAGAACAGTCTAGACACAAGTGAAAACAAAACAACCCAGAGAATGAGAAAGGACCAGAAGTTTAGAACAGATTGTCAAAGTCAGTATGAGGCCAAACAGCAATTCAGTCAGAGGCTGAGAGAGAAGTCAATTTGAATCAGTCAGCTTGGATAAGAGTTTGAGGCAGAACAGCTGAGTTGAATCAGCCAACTAGAGTTCAGAAAGAACTAGAAAGTGTGAGATTATTCAGAAGTAAGTCTCAAAGGCTGAAAACAGTCTAGGCCTAGATAAGATCATATGGATGTCAGAAGGTTCCATGACTAAGCAGGTAGGTTAGCAGACAGAAGGAATAAGCCTTGGAGACAACAATTACATTAGATGAATAACAGTTACTTTTTTAAGTCCAAGACGCCATCTGATGACATTCGTAGCTTTTAGGTTATTGGAAGCTAGTAGTCTGATAAGTTAATAGATTCCAGCTCATTTTTACCTATCAGTAAAAAGATGTTAGTTCAAACACAGAGGTGGGCCTGGAATAGAACTCAAGATAAGGAAAGTAGCTAGCCTCAAGGACTACAATATTATCTCTCCACAGATTTCTAGTTGGTCATTCATTCAGATATGCCACTTTTTAAGGAGTTTTCCTTCTGGGTTCGCTCACCCAAACAGGAAGCACTTTCTAAAGGCAAGGCAGGCAGAGGCTATTGAATTGTGCTTTGCCTACCTGTTATTAGGAATAATCTTAGCTGTGGTGTGGTATCATTCTGAGTCACATCATCATTGACTTCATCTGGTACTTAGCTACCAGAAACAAGGTAGGGAAGGAGGTTTAGGATTTATCTTAGAAGATAACCCTGGGTATAAATTCATTAATTAATTTAAAACCTTCAAAAGTCAATAGAAACTGAATAAAATGTATAAAATTGTATATGGGACAGGATATTCTACCTTATGCTCTCATTTCTCCCGAAGAGCAAGCTTTCCATTTTGGTGGAAAAGGATGTAATCAAATTTGGCAGTTTATTGAACTGTATGTTTACCATGCCTGTTGCCCATATTGTTGAATGTAATCCACCAAGTAATAAGGCAAGAAAATATACTATTACCATAGAGACATACGTGCTAATGTTTTTACCTGATTTCTATTTTGAAAATAAAAAGAAATGTATATTATGCCCCAGAGTGCCTAATTCCTCTTCTTATGTGGAAGAAAAAAATTATTTTATGTACTTCTGATCCCACAAGAATAAGAAAAATACTCTGTTGTGGAATAAAATACACATCATAGCGGACTTATTCTATCCCATACCCTTACCTTTCAGGATTCTGTTCCATAGTTTAGCTCAACAATTACTAAACAAAGAACCAAGCAGCAGGGATATTCCACCTTGATTCTAAATGAAGAGAATATGTATAAATTAAGACAAGATTTTATTTATAAATTTTTATTCATAAAGTAGTGTGGAAATGAGCAATTAAAACATTTCACACATGACTCTAGGTTACAATGCTCATAAGATATTTGATAGGTGCATGACGTGAAGACATAAACACAAGGGCTGACATTTGTATTATGATTTAAAGTTCAGCAAATTCAAAGTCCAGTATATTTCACTCAAAAAGATTCTTCAGCATGTGTGTGTGTGTGTTTCTCTGCAGGTACCATATCATTGTTATCATCCTGGTGTACTGTTTCCCATTGCTCATCATGGGTGTCACCTACACCATCGTTGGAATTACTCTCTGGGGAGGAGAGATTCCAGGAGACACCTGTGACAAGTACCATGAGCAGCTGAAGGCTAAGCGAAAGGTACTGTCCCATATAAGTGACCAGTATAACTGACCTATATAACTGACCCATATAACTGACCTGTATAATAGACCAGTTTGTGCAGACTGGACCACTTCCAAGGAGGAAAACACTGACTGATGTTGGAAATACATTCTAGTATATCACATTCTAAATGCCTCCTTTGACAGGATTTTCCTTTGCGTAATCTCTTTGTTCTTGCTGGCCTTGGAAGGTCTGTGAATGACTGCAGTAGAACAGTTACATCCTTAAGGATGAGCTGTTTTGTCAGTCTCTGTTGTAGCCCATTCTCAATTACTTTATCTGAAGTTGTCAAAGCTTCTCTTAAATGGACTCTAGCTGGTGTTGTTTCTGCACGTGTGACTGCTTTTTACAGTGCTTGATCAGAGCCCCTCTGCTGTACTCTGAAATCTGCTCAAAGTAGCTTTTATCCTGAGTGACATGGCTCCCTCAAAGTTAGAATGTTGGGATTTTTCTCATCCACATTGTCTACTCCCCCTCACTCTCCTTTTCTCCCTCTTCTTCTATACCCCCCTCTCTCCTTCCCCTATCTCTCCCTCTCCTTCTCCTCTCTCTCTCCTTCCCCCATCTGTCCCTCCCCTTCTCTCTTTTTCCTTCCCCCAATTGCCCCTCCCCTTTTCTTCTCTCTCTTCTTCCCCATCTCTTCCTCCCCTTCTTCTCCTCTCTCTCCTTCCCCCATCTGTCTCTACCCTTTATCCTTTGTCTTCTCCTCTCTTTCTCTACTTTCCCTTTTGTTCCTTCCATTCATCAGCAAGCATATACATATGTTTAAGGAAGGAGAATTTCAGTAGTAGTATTCTATAATTCACTGAATGAAGTGAAAAAAATTATTTCTGATCATTCACCTGAAATACAAAAATCCCTAAAACTTACCAGGAAACAGACTTTTCCACATCAATTCATGAACATGCCAGGCCTTGTTATTTAATTCATTGAGGACTGCATAATTTATTTATCGGAATACTTACCACATGAAAATCCTTTTAAATTTTTGTTATAATATTAAAATATCTTGCCTGCTCCTAGGTCATTAAAGATCAAACCAATTTTTAAAATATCATGTAGCAAATGTTTTGCTGTTATGATGCCACATCTTCTCCCTGGTAATAACAAATGATACTAAACAATACTTGTTTTTAGTTATTATGCATCACAACATTTTATATTTAAAAACAGGAAGTAAGCATGATTTATTTCTAACTAGATACAGATATGATATATATATGTGTGTGTATAATATATATATATGTTTTTCAAAACATCATCTTTTTTTTTCTCAAATCGTAATTCATTCACACAGGGGATATAAACACAGAAAGGCAGGATGTGGGGAAGGGAATGACATTGGAGTGTGGGTGTTCAGGGGGAATACAGATACCTTCAGAACTGGTTATCGCCTGGGTGAAGGTTCCGGGGACAAGTCACTATGACTCTGCCTATGACTCACTAGTCTTTATCTATGTTGGTATTGTCTGCCAAGGCTACCTATTTACAAGGTCTATGACTACTCAGGCTAGTAAATTTCCACGAAAGCTGCCTGTTTACATTAGCTAATAGCCATCTGTTTCAATGTCAAAACGTCATCTTAAAATAATCTGCAAAAACAACCTTAAAAACATGAGGGGAAAAAAACTAAAACAGGATATACTTCAACAATATGCTCATCTTACAAGTATCTTTATTTTATGATTATGATATAATTATGATTATTGGAGGATACCACTATGTGTCACAGATAGATGGATAGAGGATAATTTCAAGAAATCTAAGTCCATTATTCCAGGTTTTAATTATTTTTTTGTCTATATGTAATATTTCTTTAGGAAGAAATGAAAATTTTGTATTTGCTCTTTTATTTTTTAACATAAAGTCTCATTGAGAACAAAAGCAAGAGAAAGTTTGTCTGTTTTATCCTTTTCCATTTCTGGTGAAAATAAGACATAAATGTGCCCTTGATTCATCATCTACAGTTTCAGAGTGGAAATACCAACACACACAGGAACATGACTTTTCTAGGATATTTCAGAGAAGAGGACACTTAAAAGTTCTGATCCATTTCTCTTTCTTTCAGAGTTTGTACTGACAGAAAATGTAAAATGCCTTCATGGCCATGGACATCTCGTAGCCAATCACTTTGACCTTGGATTTCCTAACAGTTTATTCATGGCTCTAACAAACAGTGTCTGAACAGTAATTCTCATTTTACATTAACTTTAAAGAATGGATATCTCTTCGTTTCTTCTTGTTTAAAAAAAATCATGGCTATGGACTTTATTTTATTTGACACATAATAGTTGCAAATACACACACACACAATCAAACTTTTAAAATATCATGTAGCAGATGAATGAATCCATCTCATTTGTGTGTGTGTGTGTGTGTGTGTGTGTGTACCTGTGTACACACGCACATGTGTGTATAAAAATATCTTGGTATAGTGTGAAATACCATACAGTGTCTCTATTCAGACACATATTCTTCATGGCATCACATCTGTAATTCTTGCCTTGTACGTTCTCTTTAGTTATGGCCTGTTTCCCAGAGAATAAATATATCATTGCTAATACTAACTAGATTTGAAACAGAATTCTAAACTACTGGATATAGTGGTGCAAATTAGCCATGGCCATTCAGGACAACAACTCCACAAACAACTTTGATCTAGTCATTTAAAGATAAAAGATTGACAGAGGTTGTCTGGCATCTTTAAAAACATGTGTATAAGAATAAACACATTAGCTGGGCAGTGGTGGTGCACTCTTTTAATCCCAGCACTTAGGAGGCAGAAGCAGGTGGATCTCAGTGAGTTCAAAACCCGACAGGTCTATAGAGCAACTTCCAGGACATCCAGAGCTACACAAATAAACTCTGTTTTGGAAAACAAAACAATACAAAAGAATAAATGCACCTTAAATATACTTAAAATTAGCTAACCAGGAATGTTGGCCCCTCTATCTCAGCACTCAGAAAGCTAATATCAGAAAACATCAAAGTCAGTGCCAGCCTGGTCTACAGAGAGTAGAAAGACAGCAAGAAGTCAAAAGAAAGACAGCCGTTCCTTCCATCTCTTTCTCCCATAATCCTTAGAGTTATGCTATATTAAATCCTTTGAAGAATAGCTAATACATTATAGTTTAGCATTTATGGGACTTAATATGCCCAATACTTTAAATAATATGAGACTTTTAGATAAATTGGGATAAATTTAGATAAACCACCTCCTCTCCGTTTTTACAAGTATATTACCTAACTATATGAACTGGCTGTAATCAGCCCTGGGGAAAAGATGTTATTAGCCTTGGGAAATAAATGAACACTCCCTTATACAAAGCAACACATCATTAACATTATAGTGTTCTACCTGAAAATTGGTCTCTATATTTTATAGGACTATAGAATTTAACAAGAACTCAGGGGCATAGTAATGTCAAAAACTACATCCATAAAGTCTCAGACATGGCTGTCTAAACATGAACTTATCAAGGACAGTGGCAATAGACATACTCAGTCAAGAGAGGAATGCCCAAGAGGCCTCAACTCCTGAAAGAGAGACAAATAGTCTTCCCATGGAAGAGTACACTAACTGATTATCCTACACCAAATGGCCAGCCTTGAAAACATGCATACAAGTAATGTTGTACAGACTGAACAGGTTGTATTAATGTATTTAGGAATAGTTACATGTACATTTAGTGATATTATATTAATACATACACACATAAAATAACAATTAATGGGGAAAGGCCATGAATTTGAAAGAGAGCAAGGAGAGGTGCATGGGAATTTGGAGTGAGGAACAGGAAGGAGGAAACTGTGTTACTATATTATAATCTCAAAAATAAAAGAAGGATCAAAGGAAAAAGAAACAAAAAAGAACTAAAAGTCAATCTGTATTATTATTCCAACATTTGAATCACATGTGAAGAACTGAACTTTAATGGAAGAAATATGAGCAACATAATACATTAATAAACCTTCCTGCATATATTGTATAGTTTTAAAGAAATTTATATACCTCATAACATAACTAAATAGGTCTCTAATTACACTAAATATTCTGGTTTAAAATTTTGTACATTACAGACATATGGGATACAAGTATGTCAACTCATATATATATATATGTGTGTGTGTGTGTGTATGTACATGTATATACATGTATGTGTGTATGTGTATATGTATACACACATATATGGAGAACCATAGCACTTCAAGTAAAAATAGATTCAACCACATGTAAAATATAAATATCAGACATCTACCAAAATTGCTAATGCTTGGCTACATTTTTATTCTATGTTTGCCCTTAGTAGTAATTGGTTAATAATCCTGTCAAGGTTCTTCTTTGAAGAATGTGGACTATTCAGAACACTACAGTGATATTAAATTACAAAACTGAGGTGATACTTTATAAAAGTATCTTTTATCTTTATAAAGTCTTGATGGAGATGGTTTGTGATTGCTGTGTCGCATTTGTATGCCTTCATAGCACATTACTCATTTCCATGCATTTTTGCCCAAAAGTTTGTTAAAATATCTGTATCATTATTCTTATTATTGCTTTTTATAGTACACATGGTTTTCTGAATGGATTTTCACCTTTGTCATTGCCCATAGGACTCTGAAAATTGTAGCAGTATCCTCTACTATTTTTTTTATCATAATAGATCTGCTGTGTATCTTACATCTTAAATACCTGAGTATCTTACTTTTAAATATACATAATCATGTGTTATATGTAATCACATAGGCATATTCCAACTATTTTAAGAGTAAATTTTCTAGGAAAAAATGGAGCAAAGAACTACAAAATAACTGTTGAAGTTTCTGCCATGTACTTTTCCAACAACAAGAAAAAATAAATATCATAAGGATTTAAAATAGAAATTAGTGATAGTGATTATTTTATCGAATGTTTTTCATTCTGCTATTTTGAAAAATGTTTTTGTTTGGATTGATGAACCGGTGAGCACTGTTGG